GTGGTGAAGCTCCCCCCCTTTTTCCCCCCCCTTTTCTCCGGGTGGGGGGGAGGGGTCTGAGGTCCTGGTCAGCATCCAGTGACTGAGGTGGGGAGCCCCACGGAGATTTGGGAGGGCTCACCAGGTCAGTCTGCCTGGGATGGTGGAAGTCAGGGCTGGGCGGGTTCACTCCCCTCATCTGTCCCCACAAAAACGGGCTGCAGGGGGATCCAAGGAACCCATTCCGGTGACAGGCCTTCCCATTGCCTCTGGCAAAAAGGCTGCAATGGCCCCAGTGCACATGGGGGTATCTGTTGTCCCCAGGCTCAGTCTGCAGTTATGGACCACTAGGACTAGGAGGAAATGGCTGACACCCTGACACTGGATCTTTTTAAAACTAGTAGCTATTAGAAATCTCCCACGTGCTTTCCAAAAGCATCATAGTTTGGTAGATCTCTCAGGTAGGGTCCCTGTTCTTTGGCCAACTCCTGCGCCATCCCAAGTGCGCTGTGTTCAAACTCAGGCTGCAGTATTCAGCGGAGGACGACATTGTGACTGGTTCACGCATCACCCTAAGCCATGGTTGCAGAGTAAACCCCAAGTGGCTGATTCACAGAAGTGCTAGCGCCAAAACCTTGGCGTCTAAGCCCCACGCCTGAGCTCAGAGCCAAGACACCACCTTCTGGCTGAGACGTCCAAGCACGGGGCCGAAAGGGTCCAGAGCGACAGTGACCTCAATTCTGAAACATCCCTGGACAACGAGCAGCTGCCATGCTTGGCAGCCACGTCCCTTGGCCACTTCCCTGCCCTTGGGTATAGCAGGGCCAGCCTCGGTCCCACTGGCCTACCATCCAGATGACTCTGTCATGGGCAGTCAGGACAAGGGTCCCATCTGTCTGTCCCTGAAATGGCTCTCTGGGGCTCATCTGGAGCTGCCTCCTCCAGATCACAGAGAGGCTGGGGCAGGGGAGAGCGAGTCCTGAGCCTCACAGTCCCTTGGGTCACCAATCCTGCCCTCCAGGGGCTGCCGGCCTCCAAGGAGAACCCTTGGAGGCTCCTGAGCTTCAGGTGAATTAATAGACAGGATTTCATTGAGGGAGGCCTTTCCTAGAACATCGGAAACCAAACATTAGATCAACCCGAGATTCAAAGTAGGGCTCTTCCCTACCCATTTCCCCACTATCTTTATGCACACATGTGTGCACACTCGCCTACACCCATGGGCTGCCTATGGGCTTATGGCTAGTAAGCCAGCTGCCTCCTTGGCCCACCTGGTAATCCTGGCCATTGCTGTGTCTTGTGGTGGTGAGTTCTTGCAGTTCAAGACAACAAGCTTTCTGTGGAATGTTTTAGAGGGCTGGCTTGCACGGGGGGGGGGGCGGGGGGAGTGACACTGAAAATTCCCCAAGGCTGTAGTTTCAATTCCTTTCTCTTTGGCGTTTCTCTTTCTGAAGCAGGCACGGGGCTGTCGAGCGATACCAGGAAGCCACGCGGCAAGTCCCGTCTCAGTGAAGGAGTTTGGGCCCAGGACTCACTGGGGCATTTCCGGGAAAACAACAGCCAAGCAGCGAAGGCAGTGGCGAAGCTCCCAGCCCACTTCCCTTCGGCCCCCAGAGACTCCAGCAGAGGAACCGCCTGCCTCGTAGGGGCTTCTCTCTTGGCAGGTCCAACTTGGGAACAGCAGTCCCAGGGGAGGCCCAGGACCCCTCTGGCAGGATCTTGTCCTGGGTTTACGAAGGAGCTGCGTCTTGGGATGAGCGGATCGTGTCTGGGAAGGATGGGGGACTCCTCTGTCCACATCTCCCCTCCCCACGGCAAGACACCCCGCTTGTGTCCTTCCCAGGTTGGGGAGGGGTATTCCCTTTGCTGCTGCCTGTTTTTCAGCTGGTGCTAGGCAGAGACAGCCTCCTGTTTATTCCCATTAATTCTAATTCACTCTGAGGATGAAAGACAGAAAGAAAGAAAAGGGGCTTTCAACATTTGTTCTAAAGAGAACTCCAGAGAAATGTTCCACGTGGAGCGTGTTCTTGACTTCAGAGAGACACGGTGGCCATGCCTGGCCTTGGAAATCCTCTTTTATTTAACAGACCTACAGTATTTGTAGCCTCCCCCACCCACCTCCTGGAAATCACAAGATACAGTATCAGGAAGGAACTTTTCAACAGAGATACTTTGGGGGATTCCTGCCGTTGAGGAAATTTGGTGGGAACATTTTTCTTTCTCCTGGAGAAATTCAGAGAAATAATTCACTTCAAGTTGGGTGGAAAATGTCAAACGGCCATTTGTGTTCAACTCTAAATATAACTTTTTAGAGAAAGTATGAATTAAAAGAAAAAAATTATTACTATAAGGGTTTTAATAGAACATTTAAGAAATATAAATAAATCAACACTTAAATTAGATAAGTTAAAAAGAGTTTCTTCAACTACAGGACAGCAGGCTTAAGTTAAAAACTGCTGGAAGATGTCCTAAATGTGGGGGGAAGAGCTGGTAGTTGAAAGAGTGACAATTCAAACAGACCGTCTTCCTGCCACCTCCTGCCCCACCCTACTTTGGAAACTTGTAAGCAAGTCAGCTCCTCTCAGAAGGAGAACGTCAGAGGAAGCACCCAAAGTGTGAGAAAACAGTTGCTTTGTTTTGGTTCTCCAAAAGCTCTTGGTCCCACCCTGGGCAACAGGAGACCTCCGGACCCCATTCTGTAATCCAGGGCCACCCATATGTGGACTGTCTTGCACTTCCATCTCATGATGTGCACTGCAGCGGCTGGGAGGGCAATCAAGGAAGGAGCCCAGATGCTGCCGGGAAGTTGCGAGATGCCCTGAACTCCTCCTCGGTCGGCCGTGACAAAGGGGCCACCACAGAGCAGAGCTGTCCAGGGTCCACTCGTAATCCTTTCTTAAAAGAAAACACGGGTGAGAACACGACGACGCGCTGCCCTTCCCTAAACTTCGTATGGGCAAAACAGGAGTGCCCCTTGCGAGCCACCTCTCAGAAGCAGTGCGGGCGTTTAGGGGTTGAGATGGAGGAAGCACGTGGC